AGGTTTAATTTTGACTTGAATGGTGAAACTAACTGCTGTCTGCAACAGACCTCTGTGAGCCACAGCTCATTTCCTTTTATGCGTCAGCTTTCATGTCAGTCCGCTTTGAGGTCTGGCTGAGCCAGGACACTAACCCGGTCCTGCCTGATGAATTCAAAGTTATTTAGAGACGCGGGTTTTGATGTTGCAGAACAGGTGTTGCTGGAAAACCCTTTGTTCTGACAAAACATCCTCCCTATACACAAGCAGACCACCCGCTACTAAACGACATATGGAAAGTGAGTGATGTGACTGTACGATCACATAATGCCTGAAGACACATCTACCACTTTATCTTTCCTTTTTTCTATCTATCTATCTATCTATCTACTTCTCTATTGCATATAGACTCATAGAGCTCTGCTGAATGTAAGCTATTGTGTCATCTACAACAAAATTATACTACAAAGGAGGAACTCTGGGATCTCATTTAGCCTGAAAGGCTGGTTTAATGTCATTTGATGCTTTTGATTTTGTGCTGATTACAGTGACCTGTTTAGATTCATCAAAACATCAAGAGGCGAGAGAGAGAAAGAGAAAAACTGTTTGATTGTGTGTCCATTACAATTAAACCACAGGAACAATAGATGGGCACAAAACAGACATCAGCAGGTCATTCAAGCTGGATCTGAAACAAACCTTGTGGTTCGCAAATCTGTTTTAGGTCGGATTAGTCCTTAGGCCTTTAAATACAGACTGTTTTAATATAATACGACTGGTTGGATGACAATATGATTCCAAACCTGTATGAATTTCTTTATTCTGTTGAACACAAAAGAAGATATTTTGAAGAATGTTCGTAAACCAACATGCAGTTGACGGTATAGTCGTTGACTTCCATAGTATTTTTTTTTCCATACTATGGAAGTCAGTGGCTACTGAACACTGAACAACTGTTTGGTTGAGTTAATGATGACAGAACTTTCATTTTTGGGTGATTTATCCCTTTAAGTGAAGTTACGGGCAGGTTAACTATATGGCAATACAACATCTTTGAACATCTGTTATCTTTATAAAAGCCCCAATTATGATGAAGATATCTTTATCAGCAGGCAGTTGTAAAATGTCAGAATTCACAAATCAATCCTGTTGCAGAGACATCCGTGTGACTACAGATACAGAGCAATCCACCAGAGGTGTAAAGTATTTGAATAAATGTAATTAATTAGGCCTACTGTACTTGAGTATCTTTTTTGGATCTCTCTGTAGTTTTACTGAGCATCAAAGCTATTAGCAACTTTTACTCTCTACTTCACTACATTTTCTACAAAGTACTCTTTACTCAACTACATTTGTAATGAGTGTTGCTGTAATGACTGTAATGCTGTAACACTTTATTTTAAGGTGTCCTTACACGTTACGTGTACTTACTATTATAATAACAATTAATTATGCACAATTACATGCAAGTAACCCTAAGCCAAACCAAATCCTTACCCTAACCATATAGTACATGTAGTTAATTAATATTACTCAGTACATATAATTACACTGTAAGGACACCTTAAAATAAAGTGTAACCCTAGCTTTTTCTCCAGCAGTTTATTTCTGCTACAAAAGAAGTGACATCGCCCACTAAAGGGCACTGAAAGCACAATATCTTGTGCGTTTTGCCGTTACTCACCCAAACTTGTCAACAAGGCTACTTTACGTGAATGCGAGTTCCTTAGCAAGTAGTTGTGAATTCACAAGTGTGAGATGAGGACATGACTGCAGTCGGCAATAAGGCCGAAACCAGCACATCCGGTGCAAAAAGCTTTGACTTTTGAAATTTTACTTAACATTATTTAATTTACCCATAATACTGAAGAGACCTTTTTGAAGGATATTGTTTGTTTTTTTTATTATTATTTTGGTTTTAGAAAATAAACGTGATTGCTCTCCTCACAAATCAGCTGTTTCTTGTTTTTCACTGGTATGTCACTCTGACCAGTGCATCTTTGAGCCTATATTTAGTATAAGTAAAATACTTAAAGGCAGGCAAAATCAGACACTCTAAGACTTTTACTCAAGTTGTTTTGGAATTGGTGACTTGTAACTTGTAATGGAGTAATTTTCATTGTAATATATATGTACTTTTACTCAAGTATGGTTTTCAGGTACTCTTTACACCTCTGCAATCCACTGCTAATAGACCAAGCTTTTTATTAGACTACAGTAAAAGGTACAAGCGGTAATTGTTTTTCGCTGGGTGTTTACGAGATAAACTGAGTAGTTAGTCGGCGGCCACGTGATCGCAAAATGACCACGAGCTAGCCGTTTATAGCCTTTATCTCATGTGACTGTGGTTTTAAGGACATTTTAAAAAATGTATTAATTTATTTAGGGTAAAAATATTTTAATTAGACAAAAAATTCCCGAGTGTACCGTTTATGAAGATCGACTGTTACACAATAGCGCTGCCTGTTGGTCACCCTATGACACTAGACAGATTCACGGTAAGAATCTTACAGCACCATCCTCCTACACAACCGTTTTGTACTATACGAAGCCTACACGTAACCTTGACACTGGTTACGACAGTATATGAGTGCAAAAAGTGTGTAGGTGAGAGAGAAATGTATACCACTGCTGCTGAATCGAGAACATTAATAGTCGTCTGTACTCTTTGTACCATACCACATTGTACTTTTTGTACCACCTGAGAGCATCAATTGGCTCTTTAGATTACATGTGCCACAAATGAGCAAGAAAGCACTTCATTAATTCAAGTTGAGGCGCGTCTCAGTGCAATGCTACAGCTTTCACTAGTGTGAGTTTTAGCCAGTGCAATGGCGCCATCTACTGTTCACAAAAGACAAAAGGCTTTACACAAGGCTGAATTATTATGAATGTGCCAAAACATTCAAGCCAGGCTGTAAAGTGCACTACATTTCACAGCATCTCCTGTTTACATGGAATATAAATGACTGCAGAACCGTGACAGACTGAATAATGATGTGGTAAGGCAGTTCAGCAGAAGGTTTTAGAGAAAAATGCTATGATGGATGAAACTACAATATGTAATTTGCACTGCTGTTTGTGTAGAATTTTACATTTGAATACTAATGAACTTTTCTCTTTCTTTCTTTTTTAGTTTATCCTTATTCAGTAAATTGGACATACAGAGGCAAAATAATAAAAGCGTCAAGCTACTTTGAAGTTTTGAAGCAAATTGAAGTTCCCAATATAGTTCAAGATCGATTTTAGATTTAAATGTGCAGCCTGACTTTAGGGTCTATATGTATTGAAAGTGGCATTCAGAGCTTTGCAGCTGAACATTATTAAATTGGACATCTTGAGACTAGTGAAAGGTGGCAGCAATATATGATAGAACAGAGTGGAGAATAAAAGGGTCATGATGATTAGATAAGCCACTGTTATTTCATTTCATATTTGAGCTGATCATCACTAGTGATGGGGAGATTGTTGCCAAACAACTCGTTCACATTTGTTAGATTTTTTTTAATATAGTATAGTTTATAAGATAACGTTCATATTTTCCTTTACATTTTAGGCAGGGATACTTTCTTCTACATCGTTTGTTTTATCCACTCGAGCTAATCCACAGATGGATGTTTGTTTATTTCTCGCGAGATTTGCGTTCAGTAGTTTTAAACGCGCGTTGCAACGCACTGAATGACGAGTTTAATGCCCCAAACTGAGAGTTAAGTTCAGCTCAAAAGCTCGTTTTAAGTATTTGAAGCAAATTCTACCGCTCCTACATTTACAGACACCTGCCACACAGCGCAATCCTTTTGATTCACGGTGTATTGATTCAGCACAAATTCAGCAGCAACAACGACAACAACAACAAAAAAAGCCTATTTCGAGCAGCCTATGGCTTCTTGGCAGTTGCACTGACTTTGAATTAGCAGACAAACGTTTTTCATATATTAACAATGTTTTTTTTTTTTTTAATTGCTTACTTTTTAGAGAAATAATTATAAAAGATTATGATAAATGACTTATATCGGCATTTTCAGGAATGTCTGCCTTTTAATGTAACTTTTTACAGTCCTGGGACAGTGTTGTGTTTCTTTTTAACGTAAAGTTTTGCAAAAAAAAAAAAAAAATCAGAAACTGAAAACACATTGGTCATAGAAAAGGGGAATTCAAATCATTCTTTAAGTCTCAAAAATGTCATAAAAAAGAGTGTCACGTCATTAACTCATATGTGAGGACATTTCATAAAAAGAAAACTACATATGGTTTTGTAAGTGATATATATATTTTAATGGCAGTAGAATAGAAAAAAATATAATATTTTATAGTTATTAATACTATTATTGGGGAAGTTCAATATACGTCAAATTAAAGTTTTTGGCTTTCATTATTTGATGACTTTAAACAAAACTGTAGGCATATAGTGCAGTGTATAAATGTAAAATTTTGTTAGAGCATATAATATTGTTATTAATAAATAGCTTATAATATTGGTAGATTCGTTAAGCAGCACCTTTTCCTTATTTTATTACAGGCTGGCACTTTTTAATGTATGCATATTGTTTGCATAATTTAACCAGTTATATTACTGTATATTTGAATCAAACATTTATTTTGTGTTTGTTTATGGTAATATGCATATATAATCAATATGCTAATAAAAAAAACTTATTTTGCTGTCTGTGAGTGTATATCCATGAGTTTGAGTGAGTTAGACTGCCACTTCTCTTGTCCAGATGAGTTTCGCCGAGTTTACATCCGGGTTTTTCCCTAGGCAATGGGAGACGCACTACCGCTGTTCCTTAGGCAAAGTGAAATAAATTCGCCGCACCGTCACAAAAAATAGTCCTCTTCCCAAACACGTTTTGAGGTAGCTCCACGTCCACTTTTACACTAAGCACGCTTACTTTTACAGTAATCACGATGTTTCTTAATCGTTTGGATGGATGTTTGGAGTATTTGTGCTTTTTGACGGCTACTTTTCCTGCCCCCTTCGTCTCCCTCTTCCTGTGCGGATGAATCGTCGGGTGCTGCGGCTGTGGTGAATGAGATTGAAGAAGAGTTCTTGTTTTGTATCTCAGTTTCTCTCTTTTTTACACACACAAATTAAAATTAAACAAACAAAAAATAAGGTCGTTAACCTAGCTAAATTCAGCCCAGAGCACCACTACAGCTATGTGAGGGATCGGATCGGACCGAGATCTCGGAGTGTTTGTAAATATTTATTTAAATAATTTGTGGGGAGAGAGAGGCACTACTGCTCAAGTGAGTAGAGGAGGGTAAGTGCACCTTGGGATCTTTTTTTTATTATTGCAACTTTTATGCGCCTCGTTTTTGGACTTTAATCGTTCATAGACTCTTCGTCGCTTTTCCGAATCCAAACCCCGTCGCGATCGGGTTGGTAGAGAGGTCAGGATCCCGATGATTTTGGATCAGAATTTCCGCTTATTTCTAGGAGTTGAGTGGTGTATTTCTAAGTGCAGCGCATGAACCGAACGTTCCGCGCGTTTTGTTATTTTGTAACATTTTAAACTTCGCTAGATACATTGTTGCCGCAACGGTTGTTTCCAGCTCAGTGGAAACAGTGTATCCGATGGCAGAGAGGTGATAAAAGAAGGTAGACTGAAGATCTTTTGCTCATGCATGGCTTGAATTAGTGGTTGCGGCTCAGTCGAGTCCATCTAACTGTAATTTGTGCTGTTGGCCTGTTAGCTTTAGCAGAGTTAGCCGTAGCACAATATGAAAGCTCCTTATATCCAACAGCAGGTTTGTAAAAAAAAAAAAAAAGATTCACTCCTATTTTGGTAGTTTTCAAGGCTTTTAGTGTCTGGGCTTGTAGTGGGTGGGTGATAAAGTGATGCTTTTTAAAACACTGCGATTTTGTTTGTTTAGAAAGTGTTTTTTTTTTATGTTGCTTTTTTTTCTTTCTTTTTTTTTTTGGTTGGAGGGGGCTGAGTTATTGGAGCTGATGTGTTTTAGCTTGTACCAACTACAAGCAGATTCTTTTAGAGAGTGGAAAAGAAACTCACAACGCTTTTACCCTCATATTGTAGTGGATCAAACATGCATTTCCCCCTCCTTTGTGAATCGTTGTGAAAGTATGCTGTCGGTAAACACTTTGGGCATCATCTTCCGTGTTTCCCTGAGGTTTATAATAGTGGCCTAATCAAAGTGCTGCTTAACTTTTCCTGTCATTTGCACATCCCTGATCAGATGTACAGAACTAAAAGCCGGTTTCATGTATAGCTCAGGATAATTTGGGGTCAGACTGCACCTTAACTTCTCTGTCAGAGTGTTTTACACGTTGTAGAGTTGGATCATTTTGTAAAGCCTTGTTTGAAATGTAGGTGCTTTTTCAACAGATTTAGAATCATCGTTTTCAACTGATTGTTGATGTTTGTCAAACTTTAGTAACATGTTTACCCTTTTGTTTGTTATTGTTATTGATTAACTTTCTATCTGCTTTGTTTTTCTGCTCATGTTTTGCTTTCATTATGTGTATATTTTGATATTCACTTGTTTGAGAAACTTTACAATGCGTTTACACCCTCATCTGAAATGTTGAGCTCTTTTTCTTTAGGTTTTGATTTCTTTATCCAGGTAGTTTCACTTTTTAATGTTTGCACTGTGGTAGTCAGATCTTTTGGGTATTTATGATTCCACGTACCAATGTACGTAATGGATAGAATTCCTTTATAATACTCAGAAACTCCATTGAAATATACACAGGAGTTTTGTTGTTGATGCAATTCATTAATATCAAGCAGTTCTGCAAAACAAAACGTATTGGCTTATGTAACATGACACTGGAAGTATTTTAGTCCTATAACTTGTGTCCTGTCAGGTGTAGTTGTGATATTCTGTTACCTCATCTAGGCCTGGATACTATTTATAATGGACAATAATTCACATTACCCTTATGTCGTCTATTTTTTTAGCCATCTTATATCAGTTTGCTTAAGTTTATTCATTCTCAGCACTCAGATGAATCAGTTGTTAACAGTTGAATTAAATAATTTCCATGATTGTCTGTTGATACATTTATAGGTATTTCTTTTAAATAAAATGCTTAGATTTTATGTGGCGTAATAATATTTTGTTGTACAATGTACCTGATTGATTACAGTAATATGTTGTTTCAACTTATTCTCACTTTGGTGTAATTCATATTGCTATGTTTTACTTTTTTAAATACAAAGTACATTATATATTCAGCAAACTACAACTAAAAGTTTTATTCTGGGATATAGATTTGATCTGGCTTGGTTGTACAGTTTTACAAAGAACATTGCAACAGGTCACCAAAAACTTTACAGAGACAAGAAAAGTCCCCTGTTACTGTACTGTATAGCTTTCCTATTGCAAATAATAGCCTAATTTGAATTGTAAACTCAAATGTAAATATATTAATTTTTCATTATATAAATGCTAATGTTGTCCTCTTTTTTTATATTTAATATGCAGGGTTTTAAAGCCAGTCAGCATCATGATTCAACATAAATCTCTTTTATGGCATCCATGACAAAATACTTAATGAGCTCACTTTTCCCTGGCTATTTCAGGGTAATATACCTCTTACCAAAGTTTCATGAGTTCAATTATGATATTATTATTATTCACTTTAATACTTACATTGTTACTATTTAATAATAATAAAAATAATAATTAAGGGTGTGCACAAATAGTCGAATATTCGATCTGTGATTTTTATTTGAACAATAAAAACACTAATCGAAATTTAACTACATGTTGCTTTGCTGTGCAATGCATTGTGGAGCGTGTTAACAAGTTGATTGTATTTGATCACATAATGTCGTTGTTTGCCTCGTGAAGTTTGGAATTACTTTGATAAAACGTATCTTACTAAATGATCTTACAAAATGGAATTACTTCTGATCAAATGAATCAGTGAAACTGAGTTATCATAATATCACCACCACAATGAGAAATCACATGAAATCCAAACACCAAAACAGCTGTCCATCACTGCATTCATGACTGCAGGTAAGCGCAGCTGTACCCGAGTGAGCCGAGAAGAGAGCTGCTTATCTGACAGCCAAATGATCTTGAGACATGTGCTTCCTTTAAGTTTCCTGGAGGGAGTGTGGTTTAAGAACAGAAAACACACAGCGCTGTAAGAAACTTTGCTTAGTACTCCGTTATATTTGTGTCTCTGGAACGTCTTATTGTTATCAGACTGAGGAGCCAACTTTCACCCGAGCATATGGATATTATTGTTTTTCTCAACATTAACATGTGAAACAATATAAACATAAGCCGACTCGAGTGTATGCACGTTCTGTACAGTAATTGGCACGGCCTGCTTTACTTTTCCCGTTTGCTCTGCTTGAATGCTTGTGTTCTCTCTCTCTCTCTCTCTCTATATATATATATATAATATTTTTTTGTTTTGTTTGTTTGTTTACACACGTTTTCAACTAAAAGAAAACCTTGAGATATAATGTAACATTGTTGTGTATAATGCCTAATCATAAGCTTGTTCAGCTTGTTATTAAAAAATAACGTCTTTCTCCTTAAACGTAATTTAAATAAAGGAATATTCGTTATTTTATGAGCTTAAATATTCAAAAACAATATTTTTTGAAAAATGCCCATCCCTAATAATTATAATGTGACTTTCTGTAAATTCTTACAGAGACTTGGTATAGGTTTTGGATATTTAAAAATGTTTTTTTTGGTGGGGGGGGTATTGTTTATGTATTGTATTGTTATCTTGTAGTTAGTAGTAGAGATGCTTAACCACTAAGCCATCTCAGCTTATATATTTTCACTAGTTAATATTAGTTTTCAAGAATTTTTATAATTTAGTATATTATAAATATGGACAGTGTGCTTTTAAAATGAAGAAAATGTACATAATCAACTTAGGTTTTCATAATCATTCCCAATTTTTGTGGCTGACACAGTTCTCTTCTTAAAGTTCAAGTGATCCTAATATTTAGTTGTGTGTTTAGGGCTACACGATTAATCGAATGTGATTGTCATGCTCATTTTGATAGTAATGCCGGTTCTGTAATCAGCAGGAAATCATCATCACGTGCTTTCAGATGTATGAATCAATGAAAGCAGTTGATTCTTCTGTTTATTCAGCTGCAGCGATAGGCATTTTCTGGGTTTCTTCTGCGAGGCGTATTTGGAGTTTCAGCGCGAGAGCGCCCTCTGGCCTTTGGAGTGAGATTTACTGCTGATCACAGAACAGTGGTTCACTGAAAGATACGCATGACAATCGCAGCTTCTGTCGAATCGCGATCTCGATTCCATTTCGATTTATCGTGCAGCCCTATGTGTGTTATAGACTTTATTTGATCAAAGACTGGCAGAGTGACTCATACACTCGTCGATTTGAGAGGATGTCGTTTCCTGTGCATTGTAGGCTGAAGGTCCTGAGATACCCGTGTGGTCATGACCAGTGTTGGAGGTAACGCATTAAAAGTTTACGTAATCAGATTACTTTTTTTCAAGTAACTAGTAAAGTAACACATTACTTTTTAAATTTAAAAGGAAATATCTGAGTTACTTTTTCAAATAAGTAACTCCAGTTACTTTGTTTCCCACGTCTTGACTGACAGCTCATGTGTTGCCATGTTGAGAGAAATCGGGAGTAAGTGCAGAGGCGCTGTGTGCGCTGTGTAAACATGTTACTGTGTAAATATGAACAGTCAAATGCAAACTCAGAATATTATATAAACCTGCAATAATTAGATATGTTAAATGAGACAAAAATCTTTTATGTATTTAATCCCAATTTATTAACCAATGTCTTTGCTACTGACTTTCGATGATCCAATTCAACCATACTAAGCAAAAATGACACATTTGTGTTTGATTTGTTATTGCTGAATAGTGTTGAACTTTCTACTCCTGCGTCATATTCTTCATGTAATTTGTTTGAGCTGCGCCCTCTACTGTACAGATGTGAATTTACATTTCTTTCAGTCTGAGGCGTATTCATTTCACTTTTGGTGTGAAGGGGCTTTTACATTTGTAAAAGAAGAACTTTTTATATTAAAAACACAAGAATGCCCTGCCCAGATTAAAAAAAGTAACTCAAAAGTAACGTAATGCATTACTTTCCATAAAAAGTAACTAAGTAACGTAATTGGTTACTTTTTTAGGGAGTAACGCAATATTGTAATACATTACTTTTAAAAGTAACTTTCCCCAACACTGGTCATCACAGATGTCATCGCTAGCGAGGACAGGCTTTCGCTTAATATCTCAGAACTCCATTTGGCAGAACTACACAAAGGACAAATCCGATGCTTGAGTTTTGAAGAAGATATTTTTAGGTCCGCGAAGATGCCGGGAGATGCACAGGGATGCAGGACTTTTTTGTCGTGGGGTTCATAGACGGGATGAGCAATTAGAAGCCCGCTGAATGCTGCGCTTGCAATGTTGCCCCTTTTTACACAGACTGTATAAGAGAGAGAGAGGGAATTGGAGTGTCTCTCCCCCATCTAATAGGCTGTGTTCGTGTGTGTGTGTTTCATCTTGTGAAGGGAGTTGGAGAGAGCGCATGAACACCAGTCTCAGTGCCAGCTGGTAAGTCCTCTAATAGCCTCTGTTATAATTGTCCTCTTGGCACAGGGCCGCACACCAAAATCAATGAGAGTGAATGAATGTCTGTAACACTGCCTCCGTTTCGCTCACTGTTACACTAAGCATCAAGGTTGTTTCGATTCGTCCGTAGGGCAAACAGTCCTGCCCATCTTCTCGATTGTCACAAATTTTTATCCTCCACCAACCCTAGTTTTCCCAGAAAATTGCTTTTCAACAAGACCCTTCATTGAGGTTTTTTTTTTTCTCCTCTTAGTCCCGTTTGGCCAAAATACTTTTTTGAACTTAAACAAGAGGTTCTTGCAGTGCAGAGTTGCAGAATCACTCTGGGAATGCGAACTGAATAAAGCGTGTCTGTTTACTACCACCTGAGACATCATGAATCACGCCTCGAGAAGTGCATTTTTCCCTCAAACCACATTAGATACCGACTTGTGTTCCCCCTCGTGGGGTGGTATTGGATTAAGTCAACCGCAGAGCATCTCGCAAAATAAAGGTTAAATACATAAAATAGAAAATAAGTCTGCAAAACCTCTCTTGTTTGATTTCTCTAGACAGCCTGAAAGTTTCCTGGGACTCTCTTTCTGGTGAACTGGATCAATGATGGAATTGCAAACATTACAGGAGGCCCTGAAAGTGGAAATACAAGTCCATCAGGTAGGAGATCTCGCAAATGGGCCTCTAATCAGCTAAATCATGTGGGGAAAATGATTCTGAAGTGTCACTGTACTTTCAGTACATGGAAACTAAAATCGCAATCTCATTGCTGTATAGACAGGTTGTTTTAAAGCATACGTTTTATAGATGATTCAAATGATTTCGGCGTCTAGCAGAACAGGTCTTCAGGTCCTCCATTGCACTTAGTGATAAATGAAGATATGTTTCTCTTCTTGTCCCTTGCAGTCAGAAGTGGCGTGTCCCAGCAGGCAGAAAATTAGTCGAGCTGTCTGAGTGGGGCAAGAGAAAGACAAAAAGACAGGGGGGGAGGGAAGGAGAGAAAGGAAAAGGAGGAGAATCAGGGTCATACTGGGCAGATAAAGCGTAAGCCATTACTTAAATTTTAACGAATCATCTCAAGCAGGTGTTCTTTTACATACTGGAGGGGTTTTTTTGTACTGCCGTCTGGTTTTGTCTCCATATCGCTTGGAATATTTGACAGGCAGGTGGAAGTGGGATTTCTGCCTCATCTGGGGCAGCTGAACGGGTCGATTGTGGTCTCGCATGACTCGCTATTGCCTACTGGTGGACAGCAGAAACTCTTGAGTTTTTTTTTACTATTATTATTAATTTGGAGAAAAGGGTTTCTCTCAATTTTTGTCATGTTGCTGTATATTTGGAAAGGATCGTAGATGTACCTTGTTAGGAGAAAAAAAAAAACAGAGAAAAATGGCTGTCCTGGCAGAAAATTACCAGTACTGTTTTTTAGTTAAGTTTACGGATATTTACTTGAACCAAAAACACAACGCAATGCTTCAAAATATGGGTAAAACACCTGTGAAAAATCTATACAGAAAATTCCTTCATATTAACACAATATATTGTGCCTTATTTTTATGGACATTTCATGGGGTGTACAGCTGCTTGTGGTTGAGAGATTTGAAACTTATTATAAAATTAATTTGAATTAATTTGTACATTTTAGGTGAAATGAGTTTAATTTTAAAACGATGTATTTGTTTTAAAATATTTATATTTATGCCTTTAGCAGGCGCTTTTGTCCAAATATATAAAATCAAGAAAATTGAATAATCATGAATTATTAAATGCTTAATTTGTTATATTTTCAATATTACATTATTAAAAATGTTAAAAGTGGACCAACTAATAATGATAATAACTTTTACTTCTAATACTGTTTCACTACATTTTCTGTCTGGTTTATGAAAATGTGGATGGGACCGCTTTTTAAGTTTATTTTCTCTCTCTCTATAATATATGTTAGACATTTGTATTACCTGATGTTATAGATTGTCATTTCAGTTAATAGCAGATATCCTGAAATATAATTAGGTGAAGAACAAATTTTTTTGAAGCTTACCCCACACTCTCAGAAAAAAAAGGTACAAAAGCTGTCACTGGGGCGGTACCTTTTCAAAAGGCACACCTTTGTACCTAAACAGCCCATATTGGTACCTTAAAGGTACATATTAGTACCTAAAAGGTACAAAAGTGTACCTTTTGAAAAAGTACAGCCCCAGTGACAGCGTTTGTACCTTTTTTTCTGAGAGTGCACTCTCCCCTATCTTTTTCACTTCTTTAATATATCTGTCCCTCAAAGATTGATGTTAAGTGGATCAACTCATCAACTGAAATTCACAATTTTCATATAAATTACACTTGTTCATTGCAAATGTAAAATGTTTGTTCCAAATTAACACATTAAACGTTGTCTCTACAAACCGTTGTTAGCTGGAGGACAGTTACCCTTACAGAAAGCCGTTGGCAGGCTGCCTGCTGCCCAGTCTGCTTTTGTTTGAGTGTGAGGCAGGTGCAGTAGGCTGTAGTTCCACATGTGGCCTGTAGATGGCACACCATGTCTGTAACTCCCTCCAAAACTGATGGCAGAAGTTTTGACTGCAAATTCTTGTCTTCTTTTCTGTTGCCATAGAAACTTGTTTCCCAAATGAAGCAGGATCCACAGGTAAATATTCTTTATGACGTTGCTCTTCAGAAATAATCCTCTGGTTTGTTCGAGAGCTTTAACATGATTGACGGCTGGGTATTATATTTTCTATACTAATAAGGCAGCTTGGTGGTGTGTATAAATATCTTATTAAACAAAGGTTCAGCAATTTCATTGTTTCAAAAAGAAGTGATTCTTACGCTTATCTTTGGTCTTCATAGAACGCAGATCTGAAGAAACAACTTCACGAGCTCCAAGCGAAAATCACAGCTCTGAGTGAGAAACAGGTAAGAACTTTCACAGTCGTTGTGACGTCATTCACTGCTTCGGGTGCTGAAATGAATGTTTTTGAACAGTGAAACGCATTAATTAAATGCTTGTTTGCCTACAAATATGTGTCAGTGAGCATTGGTTGATTGTGTGATTTGAGGTTGAAAAAAAGACACTGGATGACTTCATTAGGCTTTCTCTCTGTTTCATATACTTAGACATCAACTCATTCTACAAAATGAATGGTACAAAGGATATGCATTTAACGTACAGTTTATGACATGTATTTTACCCTGTTGTTGCCGGCAAAGAGGTTGATTGGAAATGTAGTTTTGTTTAGTTAAATATGATTATTTATGAACTTCTGATTTCAAGCAATGACGTGATTGTTTGATTTTGTGATGTTGAAACCGGTGCTGTTTTAGTATTATGTATTATAGTTTTTATTTGTTATTTATATTTCCAGTTTTCATTTTCATTTTAGTTGAATTTTTTGTTATCTGCTAAAATCAATTAATAGTGATTAATCGCATCCCAAATAAAAGTTTGTGTTTACACAATATATGTGTGTGTACTGTGTATATTTATATGTATATACAAATACACACAAATACATGTATATTTTTAAGAAATATATGTAATATATATTATATATATATATACAGTATATGTGTATTTTATATAAATATACACCATACACACACATGTATCGTGTAAACACAAACTTTTATTTGGGATGCGATTAATCGATTTGACAGCACTACTTTTTGAGCATTATTATTTAGATGTTTAATATATTCTCCGTTTTCAGTTTTAGTTTAGTTTTACTGTTTATTTATTTCCAGCTAGTGATTTTAGTGATTCTGCTGTTCAAATTCACTTAGTTTTTCATTTAATATTTCTATTTTATTTCAGCTTTTTATTTATTTTCATTCCAAAATGTTTTTAATAGTTTTAGTAAAGGATAATAACCCTAGTTGAAGCAGATTTTATTTTTCAAGCAACACCACAAAAACACCAGCGCGTTTCAGCACATTTCTGTGTCCGGGTCAGCTTGTGTTTAATGAAGCACTTTTTGATTTGTTTGCTTCAAATTGGTCTTATTGATTTCCTGAAGTGGCTGTTGGATCTTGTGGGAATTGTAGTTTTTAATGACAGAATGACAGCGGAAATAAGCGAAGACTGATACATTTAATTGTTTCGCGGTTGAGAAAAGAGCAGCCAGCAGGACAGGCTTCTGTGCATTTAACAACTGTGGGGCAGAAGAGTAATACATGCAGCCCGCTGTGTGTACGTGCATGCGTTTGATGTGTGTGTTGGGGCTTGTCTCGTCTCCTGCTGGGAGGTGGAAACACTCCAGATTGTCAGAGAGTTTGAGAGATTGCACTTATTCAGTCGCTTCTTGAAAAGTCTGGATTTGTAGCACAGCTGTTTTGGGGCAATGTTTCACTTTTTCTCTCTCTTCCTACTCTTGAAATTCTCCAGTTAGAGAATTGTCCCAGTTTACTGACTCGCAGATCACTGGCTTAGCTTTGAGCTTTTATCCTGAGAGAGAGAAAGAATAGATCACTATAAGTACACATGATTTGATTTTTTAAAAACTCTGCTCAAATGTGGAGGGCAAATATTGTATGTGTGTGTAGCCTTAGTCTGGACTGGACAGGACTGACTAAGGCTACACACACATACAATATTTGCCCTCCACATTTGAGCAGAGTTTTTAAAAAATCAAATCATGTGTACTTATAGTGATCCAGACGAGGATTAGAGCGCGAGATGATGAAACTGTCCAGTGAATGCTAATTCAGTTCTCTCACGAAACCTGTCAAGAACCTGTCTAGCTTACAGTTTACCTTATAATGTGTATATATAATATAATGTGTTATAATTTAATAAATATATACATTTCGTTACAACTTAAATTGTCTTGTATAACCGTTTGGTTTAAAAGATTTAATTCAGTCTCAGACTTTTAGAGCCATACTGTATTTTTTTCAATCAAAATATATTTATGTATTTAGTTTATGCTAAAAAAAAGTTATTATAGTTAACTAAAGCTGAAACTAAAAGTAACATTATAAAAACAAATAAACATTAACTTAAATGAAATCTAAAAAATTATAAATAAAATATAAAAACCTTTTTATTTCAGCAAGTTGCCAAAGCAAAATTACAAAAGCACAATAAAATTATTTAAAATTGAACTAAACCTAAAATGAAAACAGAAAATATAAAAATAAAACTGAATCAAAATATTAATAAAAAAATGTAATTATATTTTTAATATTCATTAAAAATAACACTGGTATTTTATTTATTTTTTTATTAATTGTCGAAACAGTGTCACAATGCAATGAAAATAATGTCACTATGCAACAAATAATAGTTCTAAAAATAAATCTATATTTTTATTTTTGTATTCTATTTGAATTTGGAATAAAATATGACCTTCACATGTTTTCATAAGATTCATTTGATTTTTCCATAAGACACGTGTGTCTGTGCGAATTGTCAGGTTGAAAGGTTGATGCTTCCTCAGATTCTTTTTCAATCCTGTCGGCTGTGAATACAGTTTGTCTGCCTTTGAATCTCAGTTCCATACATATGAATTCTGTATAACTCTTTCCGCATCATGAATTTATATTTATGTGATTTTTAGCCTCGATGTGAGGCCCGCAGCTGGCACGGCGGTCTGTTGCGTATGTAAACTTTCTGTTTGTGAGTCTAAAGCCGCTACTATGTGATTGATCGTCCGCTTAAAGAGAAAAATAGTTTTGTCAAAATTCATTTTGAGGAAGAGACTTTCATTTGATGTTGTGCTTAGCGCAAGGGCTTTGTTGAGGAATGTGTGTGTGGTTGAACTCTCAGAGGTGCGCTTTGGCTCCAGAGGACTCTGAGGCAGCAGAGTGTGTGAGATGAATTTCAATCACGTTTTTCTCGGCGTGTGTGTGTGTAACGCTCAGTGGGCCTTTATAAAAGCATTTCCAGTGTTGTTAAGATGGTCTCGCACCTGAAGGGTCTTAGCTTCACACCCAGAACAAAGAAAACCAGGGAATTCGGTGACTAATGATCTAGCGACCAGATATAAACACAACATTGAAAAGACGAGATGGGGGGGGGGGCTTTCCATTTTTATTTCTTGGAAAAAGGGCATATGAGGGTGTTCAGAACAATTTGTTTCCCTGCAGGCCATTTTTTTCTCACATGTACTGATAATTTGTACACAATAACAGCAGAAAAATGTAGTCAATAGCACTTTAACATCTTTTATGTCTCCTCATCCTCATTCACTGCTTCCCTCAACCAACCTACCTCCTCGACTAGAAGACTCTCACCGTGACACCGGTCATAACTGCAAAGACTCTACCTCTCATGCTGAAAGCTGCCACCTCCACCATGCCTGCTTCCATGGCAACACAACGCCCTACAGTCGCCATGGTCACTGCCATCAGCAACCCCCCGAGACCCGGCGCCAATTCCGACTCCCAGAGCACACCAATCAACCTTCAGGTGGCCAGCAAGCTACCCAATCAGGATACAGATGCGGGCACACGGATTGTGTCCAAGAATGTTATCGTCGTGAGTGTGAATTGCTGCTAAAAATTCTTCCTCTTCACTTAGTGTTTCCATATAGCTTAAATATAACAATTTTAAATTGAGGTAGAAATGCCAGTCTGTGTTTTTGCATAGCTTGCTGTAGACTAGTCATAGTCAGACCCACTTTGCTTTGATGTGTTTAGAACAGGATGTTTATGTCTCCAGTTAGTATGAAGATTTGAAATGACTTCCTTTCTGACAATAAAGTGCTTGGCAGGGGTGTATGGTGACATACTTCTGTGATGTACCCAAATAGGGGATAGTTTCCTCTAAAAGCAGACAGTTTTGTGAATTTCTCTCATGTCACCTGCTGAGTGCCCAATAAACGGCTGGTTTTGTCACAGGTGCAGGCCACCACCACCTCTGCCCAGCCTATCAGAGTTCCCCAGTTTGTCCCTCCTCCTAGATTGACGCCTCGACCCACCTTTCAGCCACAGGTGCGTCTCTGTTAGACCTGCCCCCTCCCCTTATGTATGTGCAGTTCCACACTGACGCCACCAGAGGGACACACAACCTAGTTTCAGAGGCCTTGTGTCTGTAAAGCCTTTGTTTACAGAGACATTCTGATTTTAAACTTCTCACCTTGAAAGAGTTTTCAACATGGGAACTAAAATTGCTTGAACACAGTCACCCAAACTTCAAGATATCACTGTTCCACACCTAGAGACCCAAATTCTGCTTTTTTCCTCAATAAAACTGACGCTCACCTTCTCCTTCCCAGCTCTGGCTGTTGCTGTGATACTGTCTGCTTAAATTTTTTTTCTCTCTTTGCTTTAGGGTGCTTACACACTAGATTGTATGCTCTGTTAGAGAATGCTTCAAGTTTGTTGATTATTGTTAAAGGGGTCATATGATGTTGCTAAAAAGAATATTATTTGGTGTATTTGGTGTAATGAAATGTGTTTATGCGGTTTAAGGTTCAAAAAACACATTATTTTCCACATACTGTACATTATTGTTTCTCCTCTATGCCCCGCCTTTCTGAAACGTGTCGATTTTTACAAAGCTCATCGGTCTGAAAAAGCGAGGTGTGCTGTGATTGGCCAGCTATCCAGTGCATTGTGATTGGCCGAATGGCGTGTTAGAACGAGCCGTTTTAGGTAGGCGTGGCTGACTTTAACTTTTATAAAGAATATCTCTTTGGATTTGAGACTTTAGTCTTTGCAACTTTACAGATCTTCTTTATGCACCAAGAGCTTGTAACACTTCAAAGAGAAAGGAAAAATTGAAATCGCATCATATGACCCCTTTAAAAAAAAGCAGTATGTAAAAAAAAACAAAGGTTTGTGAAAATGACGCTCAGTCATGCAACCTAAAGAAAATTTATAACTTTTGCGCTGCACGCTGACCTAGGCATTTGTTGACCAGTGAAAATTCAGTCCACGGTAGTACTGCTCTATTTCAAAGGCCCGCTTCTGTCCATACTCTCTAAATGCATTCCTATCCGTTAAAAATGCTCTGTCACAGCTTTATCTAGTGAGTAAGCTCCCTTAGCACCGTGTCTATACTGGAGGTGACCCATAAGTGCCACCACACAATAATGGCTTGAGTCTTTCTACACTGAAAGTGTCCAAGCTGCATGACTCGTTCAACAACAGTTGTATTAACATTTGGGTGAATAACTCAGCAGAGGTCCATTGGTATGAAAATTGGTATATTATTACTGTATGTACGTTGCTTATGCCTGGTGTAGACACGGTGTTGAGAGTAAGACAGCGTGTTACTGTTTGTTCCTTTGTAACAATGCTGTTGCTTCAGTTGCAGCTTTTTATTTCTGCTTTTGTTCTTTTGATATTTGCTTTGGCTGACCCTATCATTAATCCCCCACTCCTTTAAAGACTGACAGTATATCACCTTTTACCTCAAAAAGCTACGTAATGCTAAAGTGAGCTCAGATGAATCCACCTTAACTCATCATTTACTTACTCTTATGTTGTTTCAAACCTGTATGACTTACTTTTTTCTGTGCAACACAAAAGAGTCTAGTCACTGTTTTAAAAAGTCCATCCAAAAAATGTCAGAGAGGTCCAATGTTGTATTGACGCATTGACTTATTATACAAACAAAAACAATTGAAACATTCTTCAAAATGTATTCTTTTGTGTTCTGCAGAAGAAAATCATACAGGTTTGGAATGACATAAGGGTGAGTAAATGATGACCTAATTTGGGGGTGAACTATGTCTTTATGGCAGGGCTGGACATCTCTGGCCCTCAAAGTCTACTGTTCTGCAGAGCTTAGGTCCAATCCCAATCCTGAACAAGCTAATCAAGGTCTTTAACTCTTTAGGATTACTAAAAAGTTACAGGCAGGTGAGTTTGATCAGGATTGGAGCTAAACTCTGCAGGAAAGTGGACACTGAGGGCCAGAGTTGCCCACTCCTGCTCCTGGTTTGTTATGGTGTTCCTAAATTGAGCTCTGCACTCATTTTCATCCACTTTTAAACTAGTCACTGAGGGGTGAACCAGAGCTCAGTGTTGGCATTACTTACGGCTGAGGTTGCCACTTAACACAAAACAGCATGGATGTTAGGGGCATGGCAACAGAGTGGCTTTCATGATCGATTGGTATGGCAAGCCAGGGTCTGCTTTCTGACCCAACCCCATTCCACCATTGCACAGGTTCGACCAAAACCCCCCACGCCCATCAATGTGCCCATCGCTCCAGCTCCTCCTCCCATGGTCGCGGCTCCTCTAATCCAGCGGCCCCTGATGCTCACCACCAAGCTGATGTCATCTCTGCCTGCCTCTGCTGGGCCCATTCATCAGGTGCACATCGTGAACGGACAACAGTGTGCCACCATTGACAAGACCACGACTGCAGTCACGAGTGGCACCACGCAAGTCACAGGCATTGTCATCAGTCCTGCCCAGACACTTCAGATCAGCAACCTTAACTCAGACTTGAAGGTGCGAGCACCCATTTTTATTAGCTTGATTGTTTGCTCCAGACATAAGTTTTAGCTGTTGTTCTTGCTCTAAGAATCAAACATTCAGCTGACTGGAGTGCTTTCCTTGTTTGTTGTTCTCTACATCAGACTGTGAAACCACAGGGAGGACCAGAACAGGTGGTCACGAGTACACCACCCTCATCCTCTCCTCCAGCTAAAGTCAAACGTGAGGAGAGCCCACAGGTACTGTGCACCTTCACAGAGGTAACAAAACCATCATGTCTGACAAATTTTGTCTGAATCCTAAATAATAAATTGTTACATTTTCTTCCTTCAGAAGCTTGCCTTTATGGTGTCTCTTGGGTTGGTGACACATGACCATCTTGAAGGTAAGTCGTCCCACTGGTGTCAATGCTGCACTGAGGGTTTCCACAAAATTTAAGTTGTAAGCACAGGTTGTTTTGTAACCAGATGTGCATGGGATGTCCTTTCTCTCCAGAGATTCAGAGCAGAAGACAAGAACGTAAGAGGAGAACAACAGCCAACCCAGTGTACAGTGGAGCAGTGTTTGAACCTGAGGTACAGACGAATGTTCTGTAGTACTCTCCTCCTTCTGGTCTGATTTTGAGAGCTTAGATTGTACTTCCACAACTCGGCTCTAACATTCTGATTTCTCTCATACGTCTCAGAGGAAAAAGAATGCTGTCACTTACTTGAACACTCCACTGCATCAAGGCACCAGGAAGAGAGGTCTGTACCTGCCTGTCTTAGTTGCTTAAGTTGATGTATTGTAGCCCTGCTGCTTCTATGTACCACCTAACAGACACCTCTCTGCTTTCTCTTGCAATTCTGCTTTGTGTCTTTGCTAGGGTTTGATCTCTTTGCAGACCTACAGTGTTTCAGTAGACCTAAAACAATGGCCTATAAAAGTGGTGGTTGAGGAACTGCTCCCCCAGTTTGTGTAGTTTTCAGTGATGGAGAATTTGGCTTGTTTTGGACATGTTAGCATTTGACTTGAGACTCCAAAATCAGAGACTTGTGAACAATGTCAGTAGAGTCAGTAGGCTTACAGGGAGAAATATATCCTCTCATTGTTGCTTCACTTCAGATTTGAGTCTCTTGTGTGCTCTTTGCAATCATTTTTCTTTGCGAATATCTTGTTGTTTGCTGTTGAATTCTAGAGCAGTGCTTCAACATAATGAATTTAGATAGATTTGGCCTTTAACAACTTGACTTGATCTTCACCCTAAAGACTTAAGCAGTTTCTTAAGCTTGGCTTTGAAAAACTTGACTTGGTCTTCACTACAAAGACTTGGGGATTGACTTGAGCTTGGCCTTGAAAGACTTGATATGAACTCCACCTCAGACTTGAGGGTTGACTTGTGGACGGTTGCATAAACTGTTTAGACTAGTCTTCTTAATTTAGACACCTATTTTTTTTTCTGCAAGTCAGTTACATAAAAACTTAGATTGGTCTAATTTGAATCTGAAAAGTAAGACTGATAACCACTTGGTTAACTGCTAGTTGGTCAAACTAGTTCTTAAGACACAGTCTTAACGTGGTGACTGTTTATGCAACTGGCCCTTGGGCTTTTATTCTTGAAAGACCTGACTAGGACTTGAGCACTGGCTTGAGTTTGCATTGAGAAATGTATTGAGATTTGAGATCTCAGCTTAGACTTTCTCTCTTAAGCTCTTTTCACTCTTTCTTTCGCTCTTTCTATTGCTCATTACTTTTCAAATTCCCTGCATGCTGCTGTGGTCGTCTGTTGCACTAACTGCTTTTTGTGACCCTCCCTTCCATTTCTCCTTTGCTCTCTCCCTCCTTTCCTTTGTTTCCATGCTAGCCAATGAGGATCCCCTCTCTAAGGTATGTTGCAACCAGAAAATGCCATTATTTTATTTCATCTTTGTGTTTTTTTTTTCTTTCTTTTCCCCTTTTCCTCCTCCTCCATTTTTTCTGTTCCTTTTGGTTTTGTTCTTTTTTGTTTGTTTTTCTTTTCTTGTCTGTCTCATTTCACTCAGGTCGCCCTCCCAAATACAGCACCACCACCAGCAGCACAGCGGTGCCGGAGCTGGGCTGCAACCCCCTGCTCTCCCCCACCAGCAGCCTTCCCGCCTCCCCAGCCCCTGAGCGGCCTGACACAGGGGGCTTTCCCCTCTCTGTCCACCCTCATTCTGTCCCCCAGCCCAGCCCCAGCTCCGGGGATGTAAGTAGCCACCTGCCAAGTCTGGGTGACCATGTTGTTGAAAGCCCCCACAATTATTATTGTTCTAGTAGAGTTCTCTACATCACAGGCTGCCCCTACCCCCCAAAACCCTTCACTGCATTCATCCTGTACACCTCAAAGTGTACCGGAGCAAGGTAACTCCTGTTAGAATCCACCCTGGAAAGAGAAAGACTGACCTACCAGCACTGTCATTCATGTGTTTATTTGTTGTATTTGTTGAAATGGAGCCAGCAGTCTTACAAAGTGAACAGTCTTTCTCTACTTCCCACACAAATATCAGGCCTGAAGTAATTACAGTATAGTATTTTAAAAATCCTTACACCATATCTTAGCATTTAAGCCAAAATACCCATTACTCATAATCACGATACATTTTCAATAGTGATTAATTTCCAATAATCCCAATAATAGTAGTAGTAATAAAACTACGAGCTAAATATCCAGTTCCCTGTCTAAGTGAACAATCCAGTCACCAGTGAGCCACTAGACAAATACCTCCAATCAGCAGTCAGTTCCTCTCCTCCCCGCCTTTCCCGCTGTCATTTGATTGGTCCAGGAAAAGAAGGGGGCGGTGGTACTGACACCTGCCGTTCTTCCCGACAGGGAGACATCCATGAGGATTTCTGCACTGTGTGCAGACGCAGTGGACAGTTGCTCATGTGTGACACATGTTCGCGCGTCTACCACCTCGACTGCTTGGACCCACCCCTCAAAAACATTCCCAAAGGCATGTGGATCTGTCCTAAATGTCAAGACCAGGTAAATAATAGCAGCACAACGAGCCCTTGGCCACTCCTTTCCCAGGCCAGTCAGTGATGTCTCCTTTTAACTGGAATTCAGTCCTTTAAAGCACACACACTTTTATATAATTAGAAATGGAAGACTGACTGAGAGATCAAACTCCCCTTTCCCTGCCAAAAATGTACACAAAAGTGTATATTTGTCTCCCCTTACACAAAATTAGTTTCTTCAGGCATTAAGGCTGCTTCATCCTTTGTAAGCTCTCACATGGTTCGGTATTTATTGTGCCTTTTTTCCACCCATCATGTAAGTGTAAGACAGCATCAAGCACTCCCATTGAAGTTCTGTTGTTCATCACCGTTGCCATATACAATTGATCTCAGTTTCTTTCATGGCTTTCCAGAGGTCAAATGAGCACAGCACTGGTCTGTTATTGAGAGAATTTCTTTTACAGATTCTGAAGAAGGAAGAGGCCATTCCATGGCCAGGAACCCTAGCAATCGTCCATTCCTACATTGCTTACAAAGAAGGTAGAGATATTTTGTTTTCAATTGTAGAATTTTGTACCCCAATTTTACAGTTTAACTCTAAAAAAGTAAGTTCTTTATTATTTATTATTTAGGTAACACTTTAGAATAGGGAACACATTCACTATTAACGAAGGGTTTTCCCTGAACAAACTCCTAATTTGCTGCTTATTAATAGTTAGTAAGGTTGATGTTAAGTTTAGGTATGGGATGGATTAAGGGATCTAAAATACGGTCATGCAGAATAAGGCATTAATATGTGCTTTATAGGTACTAATAAACAACCAATATGCTAGTAATATGCATGCTAATAAGCAACTAATCAATAGCTAAAATTTGGTCCTTAATATAAAGTGTTACCATTATTTATAACCAAATGCATACATCTATGTTATAGCCCATTAAATTGATGGGTGTTTTGTCCCTGTCCAACAGCGAAAGAAGAAGAGAAGCAGAAGTTAATGAAATGGAGTGCCGAACTAAAGCTGGAACGAGAGCAACTAGAACAGAGAGTGAAACAGCTCAGCAACTCTGTAACAGTGAGTTATTTATTTATTTTTCTCTTTAACTGGAGCTTTTCCGGATATAAGATTAATTATACAATTGTTCTACGTCTCTGTGAAGGGATGTTTGCCTCAGAAAACCAGTTTTAAGACGAACATTCAGCTTTGCAAATATTCAATATGGCTTGTCACACTGTATACGTAGTTCTATCATGAGAACTCTCTGAAGATTTTAGCATGGTAATAGATATGACAATGTTAATGTATTTGGTCTTGGCGGAATAGATCTGCTACGCTGCTGCTGAATTGCTGCTGCTGTTGGTTATAGCTGTATTAGTAGATTATTGCTGCTGCTGCTGCAAGAAAGTACAGGAACTTGCTACTGCCAGTACATAAGCCGATATGGTGCTCTGAGTATTTAAGACATACTGCTGCTGCACAAATAGCATAAAATAACCCGTAGCAGATCTATACAGGTGAAGCTGGGGAAGGTGGAGGGTTTCAGAGGAACTCTGAAAGCGCACGGCAATGCTCAAGCGAATGCTAATCAGCCATTTAAATATAAAGCACCAAGCTCATTGGCTGCATATGCAACATGAACCAATCAGCTTGTGACAAGTCATTTAATGCTAAGAATATCATCATTTACGTTAAGGACCCATCAGCCTGAGCCATCTAGGGTTTCATGACAGAACTTGGTATTTCTTCTTTTCTATTTAATGACTGTTAGTTGTATTCCTAATGTTAATGTAATTTTTTAACAAGTTGTGTTTGTTATATAATGCTGTATTCCTTTTATTCAACAGAAATGCATGGAGACCAAGAACAGCATACTTGCCCGTCAGAAGGAGATGCAGGTCTCTCTGGACAAGGTAAAACACCTGGTCCGCCTCATCCAGAGCTTTAACTTGATTCAGCCCATGGAGACGGACATCCTACAGGATTCTAAACAGGACTTCACAGAGTTAGGGAGCATCAAAGACTCAAAGGATGCTACAAAAATGTGTGTGCAGGAGAGTCCCACCGAGCCTAGCGTGCAAGTACCAGTCGCCGTAGCAGTTCCCGAAGTGAAGGCAGAGCCAGAGGTGGGCGAAATGGCAGAGCCAGCGACCGCAGTCACACCTGAGGCTGCGTCAGGTGAATCGGGAGTTAGTGTCCCGGAAGTTCCCAAAACCACAGTTGGCGAGGAGATGATAGATACAGCAAAAATGGCGGAGCCTGTGGAATCGCCTCAGGCCAGGGACGTAAAGACTAATGGAGGAATGGACTGTGTTTGTACCGGCTTGAACCCAGAAGAAGAGAAGGGTGCTGTCGATGCCGCAGACTCGGCGGACTCTGAGAACATCCCTCCCAATGACAGCAGTTGTGTAGCGGATGCTGGGAAGATGGAAGTAGAGCTGCAGGAAGATGGAAGTCATGGCGTGAACACCAACAACGGCAAAACCTCAGAACCTTCTCAGCAGGCTTTGCCAGCCCCTCTAAGCAGCGTGGATAACCCCAAATAGTTCTCAGTCTCACACTAAACACACATCACCAAAACATTTAAACAGATTTCCTATTGCACCTTGGACTGGTGCACAAAGTTGCCAATCTATAAAACTGTCAACAGTACTTCTACATCCAAGGCAAACTAGTCTTGGTTCTTGTAGACTAATAGAGCCCAAACTTCTGGGTGAAAAGGGTGATTTACAAAAGAGTGTCATGCCAATTATTAGATTATTAAAAAACAAAAATAGTAGTTTAATAATATTAATAGTTATTATTATTATAATGATGATGGTGATAAAGATGATGGATGATTTATCAGATCAGACCAGTGTGTGCCTCCAACATGGGGTTTGTTTCATAGGTTGTCTTAGTTGTCTAAGGGCAGGGCAGACGTGTCCAAAGACTGCATGACTAAGCCCACACCCTGTGCACCTCCAGCCAGAGTGGACCGGCAATACCAAAAGCTTCTCTTTCCAAACATGACAAAAAAAATCAACGCATCAGTATTCGCCAGTGGCAAGGCAGAGGTTTAGAATCCTGTTGTTGGCATGGGTTAGACTAAATCAGGACTGCCTATAGCAACCCCTCTAATTTCTCTCCTCCACTCTACATCTTGTCTGCATTTCCCAGTTAGCTGTAGAAGTGTCCCGTCTCCATGTCATCTCAGGCTAATCAGTGGTAGAGCGCATGGCAAAGCCTTTCAAGATCTTTGACAAAGGGCTGGAAGAGGAAGCTACACCAGAAGTCACATCTCGGTAACTGCAACAAATCATGCGTGATAGATTAGTCTGAAAAACGGTGTTGGTTCTGTGTATTGAATGAGTCTCGTTCTAAAGTCAGTGGTGTGTGTACTCGATGCTGTTTTTGGATTTTTTTTCCCCCCGCTTTTTTAAGAAAAAATATATTCAGGTCTTCCTAGTCTTCATTGAAAAATAAGTGCTTTTCTGTTTCATGAAACAGTCGTTTGTTATCAATGGTGTTTAAAAATTGCATGAATTATGCAAGCGGCTTTCTCAATCTCAAGAGATACACATTGCATAATGAGTGTCTGTTTTTATTTGAATTCCGAACTGCCAAATGTTTTTTTTTTTGTTGTTGAATTGAAAATAATGGAAATATCCTCTTACTGTGTGTTTAGTCTAGAATATAATGGACTAGTCCCATCCCCATTTTTCCTAAATCTTTTTTTTTTCCTTGAAAAAACGATAATGACTGTCACAATTTGCTGTCTTAAACTTGAGGGTTTGATGTATGAGCCAAATTGAGTAATAAGGAAACTACAGAAAACCCTTAATTAAAGCACAAGCTTTATTGCAGATAACTTAAGCAAACGCACTAAAAACCTCTTAAGAGACTTTCTGAGCAAAATTTTCAAAAGCGCTTAAATCTTATCTGTTGGTTTTTACGCTTGCCAACATAACATCCTGAAAAAAAGGAAAACAACAGCAGTTGCTTACAAACAAGGTGGGAAGCACTGTTTATGACAGTCTTCTGCTGGTTTTTGCTGGCTTTTATTTGTGTTGCATAGTATCTTAACCTGTCCCAGGTAACATCTTAAGTCTTAATAGTCTTAACAGTAATGCACGGCTGGCACCTTTTGTTACTTTAATGTCAGGCCATTCCAAAAAAAGCATATCCCTTTTAGCTTTGTTATGACAGCCACTCAGGCTAGGATTGAATAATTTACTCGTATCAAATTCCAAATATCCGTTTAGGACGTCTTTGTAAATGCTTATTTTGACTATATGTATACAATAGTACATTGGGGATTTCAAAAGGACGATGCTTTGCTCATTCTGGCTGTTTAAACATGAGAGATAACCTACTACAATATAGATTTTGTTTTTGGGATGATGTTTACTGTTTTTTTTTTTTTTTTTTTTTTTTTTTTTTAAATGTGGATTTTTTCAAAGTTGGGAGGATTTAGACAAATTTTAGACAAAGAGAAGTCACCTAAAATAAATAAATGTTGGCTTTGTATGTGGAACAGAACCAAATTTAAGACGTCATTCCTTCATGAAAGAAGCAGCGGTATCCAATTCATGCGTGCATCAGTATTACTTTACAATAACGTTTAATTTGTTGATATTAGTTAATGATATTAATCATTTGATAGCATAAATAACAATATATTTTACTGCATTTACTCATTTATGTTTAAAATGATGGATTTATCTTGATTAGTCAGGATTTCATGGCTTTAAAACCCAATTTGTAATTCTTAGTAGATGTGGTCTTGGTTATATCAACAGTGTGCTGCAATTTCTCACAATCTACTGTGAAAATGTACATACCTATCCTTAAAGGGATAGTTCACCCAAAAATGAAAATTCTGTCATTAATTACTCACCCTCGTGTCGTTTCAAACCCGTAAGACCTTCGTTCATCTTCGGAACACAAATTAAGATATTTTTGATGGAATCTGAGAGCTGTCTGACCCTGCATAGACAGCAACGCAACTGAAATGTTCCCAAGTCCAGAAACGCAGCAGGGAGATCTGTAAAATAATCCATGTGACATCAGGGGTTCAACCATAATTATACGAAGCTACGAGAATACTTTTTGTGCACAAAAGAAAAGAAAAATACGACTTTATTCAACAATTCAACCATTTTTTTTCTTTTGCGCACAAAAAGTATTCTCGTAGCTTCGTA